TTATTATTTTTGTGTATTTAGTACAGGGTTTACAGGCTTTCACTATGCAGATTGGATTTGTAGTTATCTTTCCTGTTTTTCAGCCTCCCAGGCGCTGGGATTACAGGTGTGCACCACCACATCCAGTCTCAATTGTTGTCTCAGTGTGCCCTGGGGGCGGGGCTGGCACAGCAGGCTGAGAACCCCAGTCCCTGTCCTGCCTAAGCAGTGCTTTAATCCACTGAGCTATCTGGCTAGCCACACTCGCACACTCGTCTCACTTGGGGCCTGTGCACTGGCAGTCCCCTGTGCCTAGAGTGCACTTCACACCTTGTCTCAGAATCCCTTGATTTTCTTTCTCCACTCAGTGGGGTTTCCTAACTAGTGGCACTTAGCTCTGCTCCTGGCATTTCCAATGACATTATATCTTCCCTTTCTTCATTTGCTATAGCACTTCACTCTTCTAAAATATGAAACATATATTTATATCATATGTAATACATATTTATATAATATTTATGGCCTATTGCATTGATATCCCTCTCTCTTCCACCACTGCAAGAATATGAGCTATGAGAGGGAAAGGCATTATTTATTTTTGAACTGCTGTGTCTCAAATATTTAAATTAATGCAAATAGACATTTGTAAATATTGTTAGAGATATTTTGTGATATTTGTTGCACTAAGGATAACAGTTTAGTTGTTATGTTTCCCCTAATAAGATTTTGGATAACTGTCGTGTCTTTATACTTTTCTAAAGTTTCCCACACTTCTGTGATAGGTAGGCATTATGTTTATAACACAAATAGTAAAATGTTTTGAATTTTGTTTTTTATTAGTGAAATTAAAGCATTTCTTTTTGTCTTTCAAATCGTCAAATGTTAGAAGTTTCTAAAATATGAGTGAATCAGATTTTCTGTTAACATGCTTTACTACTGATGACAGATTAAACATATTTTTTACTTTTAAAGGACTATGATTTAATCTCCAAAGAACCAAAGCCTTTTGCATTTGACGGGAAAGTACGCGGCCCCATTATTGTTCCCACAGCTGGAGAGGAAGCATCTGGGAGTGTGGGCCTTGTCAGAACAGGGGTGGCACTGAAGGAGAAAGTACCTCCTCCTGACAGAGAGGCAGGGGAGGGGAAGCCGGCCTCTGTGGGTGCAGCAGAAGACAGCCGAGGGAGTGACAGAGCACTGCAGCAGCAGCTGGATGGTCAGACCAGAGCTGTTCCGTCTGTCTCTGGTGGAAGCAGTGATATTGTGAAGGCTTTGGACCGAATCACACTGCAGAATATTCCCTCACAGACAGCCCCAGGCTTGGCTGCAGGATTGAAGAAGGACTGTGGTCTCCCCCTGACTGTCCTTACATGCACCAAAGCATGTCCTCCTCACATGGCTACTTGTGGAAATGTTCTGTTTGAGGGACGGACAGTGCAGCTGGGAAAGCTCTGCTGTACTGGGGTTGAAACTGAAGATGATGAAGATACTGAGTCTAACTCATCAGTTGAACAGCCGTCAGTTGAACTACCTGATGGACCAACACTTCATGACTCAGACCTCTATATTGAGATTGTGAAAAATACAAAATCTGTCCCCGAATATTCAGAGGTGGCCTATCCTGATTATTTTGGTCACATTCCGCCTCCATTCAAAGAGCGTATCTTAGAAAGGCCTTATGGTGTACAAAGGTGAGTTATGAATTTCTTCACCCTTCTAAATAAACCTTGCTAAGATATGAGACTTATTTGTATAAAAGAATTACTTTGGATGTTGAGGAAGAAAATTATTGTAAACTTGCATTGGAAATTTTTCATTGTCTTGAAATTTATTTTATAAGCTCATTGATTATTCAGATGAAGATAGAGTGGTAAACATGATCCATGGATAAGTTTAGAAATTTTGTGTTTAAGCTATATCTAAAATTATAAGTGATTACTTAGTAACCTTAACATGAATATTACCTAGCAATATTTACATAGTAATTTATCATTTGAACTTGATGTAGGTATATGATTTAAAAATAGGATATAAGTAAAGCAATATAGAAAGTATTTTTTTTGAAATTTTAATTGAGATTATATAATATAAAACTTTGAGCCTCTTAAAAGGTATAACTACAGTTATACTTAGGCCAACTAATTTTTTTTTTCTTTTGTATTTAGGATAGGGTCTGCAAGGTCTTACTACAAAGATCGGGTGCGTAGTGATTCTCCCGTTTTCAGCCTCACAAGCCTCACAAAGGCTGGGATTACAGGCGTGTGCCACCATGCCCAGTCTCAATCCCTGTCTCAGCTCGCCCCAGGGATACGGGGCCAGCACGGCCCACCAGGGTTAGAACTCTGGCCACTGCGCTCTGCCAAAGCAGGCACTTTAGTCTGCTGAGTGATCTGACTGGCTCATGGCCAAGTAATATTATATACTAGAAATGGATTAAATATTGCCAACTAGTGAATATTTGGCATATTAAACCGCTTTTGGTATATTGGGGCTGTTTTTGGTGAGATTTAGGAAAATAACTTTTCAGTTTCTTAGAAAACCATTATTGTGAGTATAGTATTTAATGAAGAACGAAGACATTGCTGTGGGTGCTTTATTCTTTATTCTCCTTAGACTGTAGGCATCTGAAAGGCAACAGCTATCTCTTACTCATTTACGGGTAACATTGTTTTTACCTGCTGAGTATGTGTTTAGTGCCACCAGTTGGCTCCTTGATGCACAGGTGTGGATTCCACCACTGAGCACAAGCCTGGAAAGGATACGAAGGCATGGGCCTGGCTGTGGCATGTGCTGAGCCTCATCCTTGCCATGGAGTAGCAGGTGCGGGTCTCCAGTTGTGCCGCTGTGACCTACCAAAGGTGCAGCTAAAGCTTTAACACAGGAGACCTCTTAACGCAGGAACCCATGGGGATGGGTTCCCGTTGTTCATGTGCAGGATACAAACTGAGTTAGAAATTTGAGCATGAACCTGTACCCCCAGGAAAGAGAAGGTTAGGAGGTGGGATAAGAAGTCAGCCTCTATACTTTAGCTCCCATTGTGTCACTAGGGGCTTTGTGCCCTGAAGCTCTTGGTCCTGTAGGGTTAAAAGTCCTGGACCCCAGAGTGAGTGGAATATGCCACTCGGTGTGTCCTAAGTTCAAACCAAGGCATTAAGGTCTGTTTTTTGATACTGTAAGGTAAATAGAATGAGGGATGATCAAAACATCCATTATAATTGTATATTAAAGATATGCATTGGTAGGCAAATTAGAGTGCAAAAGAGGCATAAGCGAGCACCAGTAGCAAACCGAGTAATTTGAGTCTGTCACCTGTGTTTGCTTATGGAATATTTACAGTGAGAAAGGTGGAGTTGGGCTCTAAGACACCTTTGAGGTTACTGAGCCATGGCTTGCCACAAGTTTCAAGGATTAATGTTCCCATAGAAGTTTTTCTGATTTTTTTAGGACCTAAATGACAATGTTATTTTATTTTATTTTATTTTTCTGCAGAAATGAATAGTAACTTCTGAAGCTGCCTAAATACTTTTCTCTGAACACAGGGACTGCTGTGTGGTGGTGACTGCTGACATGATGGCCGATCTGTATAAGACTGTTAGATTATCCCTCGCAGTTCTACTGTGTCATGTTTATTTCAGTTTCTTTGTGTAACAGACATTTAGTATGAAGCAGGAACATCACACAGCATATTTTATGGTTTTTTTTTTTTTTTTTGTGGAACCGGGGATTGAACTCAGGCCCTTGCGCTTGCCAGGCAAGCCCTTATTCTACTGAGCCATCTCCCTGGCCCCTACACAGCATATTTTAAGTGGAGGTGTAGTGCTGCGAATGAGGATGGGGATAAATTTTCATATTTTAATGAAACAGTATGATCCTGTTTTATTATTTAGATGTATAAGAGTTTTCCCAATGAATTACCATTTTAAAAGGTTTCCTTTAAAAAGGTTTGCAAATTGTACAGTATGTAATAATACTTCGATATGCGAAAGTTACTGCCTACTTATTTATATATCAGTCAGGTGTTTATGTGAATGTCTTGGCCAAGAATGTAGTGTTTTAGTTTGTTTTGTTTTTATGGAGCCAGGGTCTCGCTGTGCAGTTTAGGCTGGTCTTGGACTCACTATATAGCCAAGGTTGGCCTTGAACTCATTGATCCTCCTGCCTCATCCTCCTGAGTACTGGGATGACAGGTGTGTACCACTGTGCTTGGTGAGGAGTATGGTCTTGCTGTTCCAAAGTGTATAACTACTCTCTGCACCTTCATTTATTATTTTTTTACCTACATTCTGAATATTGAGGATAAGGCTTCAGAATTCTTTGTTTCTTCAATTAACATTAGTTTGAGACTAGAAGAATAAAGCCATACAACAGAAAAAGGGCTTGGATGATGGGATACCTCAGTGATTTGGTGAGGCTGTTTGGTATGGTGAGATACCGGGGCAGGGTGCTCTAAGAAGGAAAGTTAGACTTTCACTCTGACTCTGTGTATGTGTGTTGATCAAGTGATTTGATTTATCTAGGACACTGATTTTCCCAACTGAAAGTAGAGTTTCCAAATTGGCATTAGTTACCATTGGTATATGAAAATAGAAAATAACAGTGTGTCACACATAGTTTAACAAAATATTATAATCTCCTCATGATGACTTTAAAATGTACTGTGTGTGTGTGTGTGTGTGTGTGTGTGTGTGTGTAATATCGGGGATCCAATTCCGGACCTTGTGCTTGCCCCTAGGCAGGTGCTTATGCCGCTGAGCTATCACCGTGGCCCTAAAATATATATTTTTTTCTGTCCTGAAAATGTTTGATAGTTACTCACTTAGAATCAGATTTGGGAAACTGTGACCCTTGTGCCAAATCCAGATCACTGCCTGTTCATGTTCAGCCTGTGAGCTAAAAGCGAGTTTGTATGTTAAAAATCTTTAAATAATTCAAAGAAAAGTACCACCTTATGGTGTTAAATTACACAAAACTCCTATTTGTATGTACAAATAAGGCGTTATTGGAACACAGCAGAGCTTGTTTTCAAAACTTATTCCTTGTGGCTATTTTTGTGCTACAGTGACAGAGTTGAATGGTTGTGACAGAAACCAAATGGCCTCTGAAGCCTTAGGTATTTATTGTCTGCCCTGGTGAAGAATAGTTTGCCATTGTAGTTAAGTAGTTTGGAGGCTTGATTGTTCTGTATTTGTAATAAAATACCAAAGATGGCCCAAGTAATAGGTATTTTTAAAGCACTGAGATATGTTTATCTTTTGAAGTGTGTCAAGAATGTGTTTCTCTTTTGGCCCTGGGAATTAAATGGATGAGGGCATAACACATCCTGGGCAAGAACTCTCCCACTAAGCTATACTCCTGGCTCACAGTGAGGATGCCTTGTCTTGTTTGTGTAATCTTACCTACCCTGTCTTCTTGAACTTATGAATATTTTATGATTTCTTTTTTGCCAACTATAATGAATTACTATTTTAATGGAATGACATAGTAAATGAAAAATGTCAAAATTAATGAGGACTTACTACTCTATAATTTTTAGGAAAAGGAAATACTAGACTCCTTTAAGTTATTCAGGAAAGATTGGTAATGTTTTAAGTTTCTTATTTACGGTTACATTTTCTGTATGCAATCACCAATCTGTTTTAACCACAGAAAGATTAGTATACAAAGAATGAAATTTCACTTAAAACTTCTGCCTCATTTGGAAAGGAAAACACCTATTGCAGTATTCTTTTCCCCATGTAGATAAAACACTAACATTTCACCTTTTTTTTTTTTTATTGTAAAAACATGTTGATGATTATTCAGATACATGCTATGGCTTAAATTGGACTTAGACATTAAAATAAAATTTATCTCATTTTAAAATACGCTTCACATTTTGGTGCATTTTTTGTTTTCATATTTCTATAAAATAAGAATTAGAGAAAATGAAGGCCACTTTTTATTTTATTTTTTTATTGAGAAATAGCAGTAAGACAGTTTTAAAACTGATTAATAGGACAGTTTCAATAATTAATACATTGTACATTGTTATTTTTAGGGGTTATCCATAGTACAACATACAGACAGGATATCCTGTCCAAACACTATTAGTACAAATCGTTCTTCTCATTGAATTAAGTGAAAGTAGCTGTATATTTATCCTGACTAGTCTGCATATGCAGACACAAAATGGTCCTTTTTTTATATCCCCCTTTTTTGTTTAGTCCTGTCTGAAATAGGTATTCCATTGGCATCCAAATTCTATAGGTATGTGAATTCAGCAAAACAATCCAACACAGTCCAGCAGTCCACTATAGTAGTGGGATATCCATAGAAGTTGTTGACTTGAGCTTTTCACATCTCAGCATATTAATATAGTTTTACTTTATATACCTCGTTTTTATACTTTTCTGATGGATGGTTAAGACCAAGATAAAGCAAGACCTATATAACAAGAAATGTTATATAACAAGAAATGTAACTTTTGTATCTGATAAGGTCAGTCAAGTCCCCTCAGGATTTATCCTGTAACCCTGTATTGCAGCTTGCAGATCCTTTGTCAGTGTCAGCCATGTGGATGAGTCACAGCCATTGCTTGACCAATTTACTCTCTATGAAAGCCTGAGAGAATGTTTTTTCTCCAGGTGACTCTCCTTAGGCACAGTCTGTGTCATCGATCATGTTCTGTGACCACATAATCTCCTTGATCAGA